TCAGCATTCAAAAAACTTCAGTCACAAAATTCCCTTTTGTGAAGCTTCAGAAATCTGGAAGAGGCAGTGCTTCTCAAAAAAATCACATAGTGATAAATTACAAGCCAGGAATTTTTATTCCACCTTTGCCGCTTACCAGCATTAATAAGAGGTTGCACTTATACAGATTTTTACAAATATTAAGTATCATTACCCCCATTTTATAGCTGGAAAAACTGAGATTAAATTACTGTAATTGCCATAACCATGATTATATAGCAAGTCAGTATTTAGACTAGGATTAGACCTGACATATCCTGACTCCAAGCCTGGTGCCTACTCTACTATACCACAGAGCCCAGAAGCAAATAACCTTTCATATCCTAAGTTTTCAAATCTTCAAAATTGGAATCAATGGTACATACTTGTGGGTATGGACATCTTAAACATGACATATTTTCCGATTTTTGTCTGTATTAGGTATTGTTGTTGTTGTCTTTTACAAATGAAACTCAGAGACTAAATGATTTGATGGTAAGGCACTGGATTCTAGTGGATTAGTGGGAGAAGACCTGGGTTGTATTCATGGTTCTGACACTGACTTTCTGTGTGAATTTAGGCATGTCATTTAACATGGCCTTCTCAGTTTCTCCATCTGCATAAAAGGAGATAATACTGTAAAGTACTATATATGTGCAAAGTATTATTAAGGCCAGTCATTGCCAGATGTAGAAGTAGAACTCCTGACTCTCAGCCCTCTTTTAAATTCAGTTGATAATGTAATGTTTGGGAATATTACCATGCAATTTTTATTTATTTATTTATTTTTACCAAAAGCAACTTTTTAAATGTTCACAAACATTAGGATTGTGCAAAATATTTTGCACAAATTTGTCAAAAAAATCCAACTTTGCAAGAATGTAGTGAACTCAAATCCATATTTTTTTTAAATTTGTTTTACTTTTGCACAGTTCTATTTTCAAGATAAATGGACATGTGTAAGGTTTCTAAGCTCTTCTTTTGATTTAACTTTTCAAATTTTATAATGTGATAGGCTTCTGGAGTGAAATCCTGCCCCACTGAATACAATGGGATTTTTTTGCGATTGATTTAAATGGATCCAGGATCTCACCTATTTTTTTTTCAATATTTAAAAATCTGCCACTCCAGAAGTTTGAAAAACACTCTTTTGTGTATCGTCTACAGCATCTGTAAAATAACAAGCAATGCACTTGATCCTGTGAGTAGAGCTGGTTGGGAATTTTTTAACTAGCCATGTTTTCTGTTGAAAAATGCTGATTTGTCAAAAACAAAAAAATCATTTGTGAAATAGATTAGGATTTGATTAATCTCCCAATTTGAAAAAAAATCACCTCATCTGATGTCAGTGTCTCCCCGCCCCCCAAATCTAACTGGCTTCTAACTCCCTCCTCCCATTTCTCTCACTGGTTCAGGGTCCCAGCCTCCCCCACCCCAAATCCCAGCCCCAATCTCCTTGTCCTACCTAGTACAGCCTCCCCTACCTCCCAGCTTCCAGTCTCCAGTAACAGTCACTGGTTTCTTCCCCTGCCCCACCCCGCCAGTCTCAGTTTCACCAGACTCCTCATTCCGGTTTACTTCTTTCCTTCTCCCCTAGTCCGGTTTTTGCCCACTCTGCATTCAGCTCCAACAACTTCCTCCTCCATGCCTGCATGCCAACAGAGGGGTCATTGAGAGCACAGGAAAGACAGGCTTTCAATTCCTGTGCCCGGCCCCATCCTGGTACAGAGCAGCTGAAAGTATCTGTTTCAAGGAAAGTCCAGCTTTGCCCCGTAGTCCTTGCTAGAGCATCCTGGGTTGCTTTCCGTGAATGGTGCATGGGCAATGGAGTTGGTAAGAAATTTTTCTGATGGAACAGTTTTCTGTTGGAAAATGCTGATGCTTCAAAATTGAAACATTCTGGAGGAACGTCTCGATTTCAACAAATTTCTGACAGACGCCTGGCAGGTTTCCAACAGAAACCTTCCTGGTTTCCGGCCTGCCTCCCTCCCTGGCTACTCAATAGCCTTCAATGTGGCAGCCTGCCAAATTTGGGCAGATTTACACTGAAATGGTAAAAGGCACATCCCTGGCACAAATGCCACCTTACTGTAAAAAATTCAAGTCCCTGCTGCAAAGCATGGAGGTGCTAGAGCTTTTTAAAGAAAACATCACCAGAATTTTACATGAGCACATTAACGTATTTTCCCCTAGACTCATTCTTAGACACAACTACATTGTTTTGGTTGAAATTTTCCAGAATAATTCAGCCTGAGGCAGACACCCAGCATGTAAAATTTCAGCCTGAACTGTTAAAGGTTGGCAACTGAGAACAGAGTCTTATAATGGGAAGTATTAGGCAACCTTAATAATAGGTGGCACTACCAGTCCTGCCTACAGTATCCTGACTGGAGGTTCTTTTATTCTTCTACATTAAATACTGTATGTCCACCGTATGCCCTTAAAATGACAGGAAACATTAGTCAGTTTTGGGCCTTCAAATACTAATAGGCAGTGATGTGAAGATTATTCTGATACAATGACTACAATGTGCAATAAAATAGAGCTAAAACAACAAGAATGTGTGTAAGTGGGGGTGGGAGAGGGAGATTAATTAATTAACTTTAATTAGAATATCCAAATTACACGTACATCACTGTTATAACTAGAGTAAATTAACCCACATAGGGTAAAGTTTTCAGTGCAGTGCCTAATGACGTAAGTGGTTACTCCTTCTATTGTTAATAAAGTTGACTGCTTCTATCTTATAATTAGGGCCCTGCCAAATTCACGGCCATAAAAAATGCATCATGGACTGTGAAATCTGGTCTCTTCCTGTGAAATCTGGTCTTTTGTGTGCTTTTACCCTAGACTATACAGATTTTACAGGGAAGGCCAGAGTTTCTCAAATTGGGGTCCTGACCCAAAAGTGAATTGCAGGGGGTGGTCGCAAGGTTATTGTAGAGGGGTTGTGGTATTGCCACCCTTACTTCTGCATTGCCATCAGAGCTGGGTGGCTGGAGAATGGGGGCTGGTGGCCGGGCGCTCAGCTCTGAAGGCAGTGCCTCACCAGCAGCAGTGAAGTAAGGGTGGCAATACCATACCATGCCACCCTTACTTTCTGTGTTGCTGCCTTCAGAGTTGGGCAGCCAGAAAGTGGCGGCTGCTGACTGAGGGCCCAGTTCTACAGGCAGCATCACAGAAGTAAGGGTGGCAAATAACATACCATGCCACCCTTACTTCTGCGCTGCTGCTGGCGGCGGCTCCGCCTCCAGAGCTGGGATCCCAACCAGCAGCTGCTGCTCTCCAGCTGCCCAGTTCTGAAGGCAGAGCCGCCACCAGCAGCAACACAGAGGTAGGGGCAGCAGTACTGCAATCCCCCTACAATAATTTTGCAAACCCCCCACAATTTCTTTTTGGGTCAGGACCCCTACAATTACAGCATCGTGAAACTTCAGTTTTAAATAGCTGAAATCATGAAATTTACTATTTTTTAAATCCTATGACCGTGACATTGACTAAAATGGACCGTGAATTTGGTAGTAGAGCCCTCCCTATAATAAATAGTGTTAGCGTCTCTTAGCCAAACTAAGAATATTTACAAAAAAGATGTTCGATTTTTTCATTTTTTTCCATTCTGCTTTAATAAGAAATTAATGTCAACTATTTTTTCCCCTCAAAGTACTTTACTTTATTCTGTTTAGGGGGAAAAATGGGTTGGATTAAACCAGGGGTGGGCAAACTATGGCCCGTGGACTGCATCCAGCCCGTCAGACCTTTTAATCCGGCCCTCGAGCTTCCGCCGGGAAGCGGAGCTGGGGGCTTGCTCCGCTCTGCGCGGCTCCTGGAAGCAGCAGCATGTCCCCCCTCCGGCTCATATGCGTAGGGGCAGCCAGGGGGCTCCACATGCTGCCCCCGCCCCAAGCACCGGCTCTGCAGCTCCCATTGGCTGGGAACCGCGGCTGGGAACCGCGGCCAATGGGAGCTACAGGGGTGGCACTGCCGGCGAGGCAGTACATAGAGCCGCCTGGCCGGCGCCATGCCTCCAAATAGGAGCCAGAACGGGGACATGCTGCTGCTTCCGGGAGCTGCTTGAGATAAGTGCTGCCTGGAGTCTGCACCCGTGACCTCCTCCCGTGCCCCAACCCCCTGCTCCAGCCCTGATCCCCCTCCCACCCTCCAAACCCCTTAGTCCCAGCCTGGAGCACCCTCCCCCACACCCCAACCCCCTTCTCCAGCCAGGAGCCCCCCCCCACACACCCTGAACCCCTCATTTCTGGCCCCACCCTGGAACACACACCCCCAGCCCAGAGCCTGTACCCCCCTCACACCCCAACCCCCTGCTTCAACCATACTCCAAACCCCATTTCTCCACCCTCAGCCTGCAGCCCCCTCCCGCATCCTAGCCCCCGCCCTAACCCGGAGCCCCCTCTCGCACCCTGAACTCCTCATTTCTGGTCCCATCCCAGAGCCCGCACCCCCAGCTGGAGCCCTCACCCCTTCTCGCACTGCAACCCCCAATTTCATGAGCATTCATGGCCCACCATAGAATTTCCATACCCAGCTGTGATCCGCAGGCCAAAAAGTTTGCCCACCCCTGGATTAAACAGACAGAAAATAATTACATAACCAGATTTGAAAAATCTGAATCTAGATATAAGCAGGTCCATCGACACCTGTGAGACTTGGCTTTATGAGGAGATTGGGGAGTTGAAGTTTCTGGACTAGTACTATCACACTGAGAAGATTACCAGGATTGCAGTTTGCATCTTGTACAGCTTATTCTTAAAGTCATTTTGTTGGCTGTATTGGAACTTTGCTCCTCTACCTCCAAGTATTGTGTTGGGTTGCAGGATTAGTCCCTATTGTGTAGGGAGGAAAGAGGTGGAAACCAGCATATTTGTACCCTGGAATTTATGCTAGACTAGAGTGAATGAAATTTTATGCATTTAAATTTGCCTTTATAAGTGGAAGATTAAAACAGCTTTATCCTTTTTCTATAGACATTAATAGCAATGTATCTGGTGACTGCTGCTGTTGGGGTAGAAGTCTGGCACACACCTTTCCTATTTGGTTATTACATTACAGATATATTAGTAATCTTGCTGATAGGTAAGTCTCCAGAGCTGTGAAAATCTAAATGGTTTTTCATAGCCTATTTGCTTCTTTTTCTTTATAAATATTTTTTTCTTCCTACAATATTGGTTATCTGCCACTGAAAAAGATGTGTTTACAGAGTGATTTAATAAGGTCAATTATGTAGTGATTTAGAGAATCTCCCACAGAGAAATGGAAAATATTGGAGAAATGTTTCCTCCTCACGTTCATACTTTCTGATGCTCACTAGCTCACAACTGACAAACAGAAGAACTTGAGTTCAATCAGGGGGTCTAATTCTTTTTGCTGCTTGGTTGACAGGTTTCCAAAGATTCAAGTGTAGTTAATGTCACACAAGTAAGATTGCTCTCATTATTCAGGTTGAGGGGGAGGAGAGAGACATGGAATTTGTGTGTATGTGTGTTTATTAGTATGAGTTTGATCCTTTTAATCCATAATACAATAGGTTCTTAGGACAAGATCCTCAAAGGTATTTAATCTTCCAACTTCTATCGATTTCAACTGACGTTCAAATCCTAACTAGCTTTGAGAATTTGGGCCTACCAAAGAAAGATCTTAAGATGTTTAAAGAAAACTGTTTCTTTATCTGGTGGTGGGTGGGTACTATTAGTACAGGAGCGCCTTCTTAACAGCCTATTGGTACAAAGTGTGGTGGTGGAAAGAATGAAGGCTTTTACTGTTTAAATAATGTTAGGAGACAAAACTGTAAACCTGACTAGCAGGCTATTCAGTTTTTAAAGTATTTGTAGAACAGAAATGCTAAAGTGTTGTGTTTCCTCCTACTAACTAATGTTTAGCATTACTTCCTATCTGATGGAATCACTTTTTTTTCTAGATTCTGATATAAGCACTGAAAACTTCCTAAGCCAGGAAACAGACAGCATTATATTGGAAAGAGAACAGGAGTAGTTTTATCTTTTAACAGATTAAAATAATGAGTTTTCAATACATGAAATCAGGAATGTAACTGAAATATCTTCCAGGATTTAGCTGGAATGCTAAGAAATTAACATGCAAATTTTGAATATCCTGATGTATTAGATTTTATTTGTAATGAATTTAATTATGAAGAGAAAAAACAGGAAAAGGAGAAGTTGGTCTAATACATCCAGTATGGAAATAATTCTTAGGAAACATTTGCACTCTTTGAGCCAATTTAAGCTCTTGGGTATGTGTTTTTATCACCCATTGACTTCCCTAGAAGCTGTACAAATGTGTTTGAGGAGATAATTTAATTGTGCCTATTAAATTCACACACACTCTCCCTCTCCCACCCCCACTTACAAACCATTAAAAGCTACTATCTTCAGCTTCAATTGTACCTTCCAGGAATTCACAGATTATAAAGAAGTAGAGCTATTCGAGTGACCCTGTTTATAGGCATAATTTTTAGAAGGAATGTATACAAGGATGTGTTTTTGTTTCCTTTCTTGCTTTATCTTCAATGTAAAATCTTATGACGGCAGCCAGAATTGTATAATCCTTTGTATTTCAGGTCCACAATATGCCCATTTTGACAGGGCCGGCTTTAGGCCGATTTCCCCGAATCGGGCTCCGCACCTAAGAGGGCCCCACGCCTAAGAGGGCCTCGCGTCCAGCCAGAGCATGGCAAGCCCACGGCCCCGCTCCCCCGGCCAGAGTGCTGGGCGGAGCGCTGCAAGCCCGTGTCCCTGCTCCTCCCGCCGGAGTGCGGCAATCCCCGCGGCCCCGCTACCCCGACCAGAGCCCAGCAATCCCGCGGCCTGCTTCCCCAGCGGAGCGTGGCAAGCCCCACGGCCCCGCTCCCCCGGTCGGAGCGCCGACTCGAGTGCTGCAAGTCCCGTGGCCCCACTCCCCCGTCCACAGCGTGACAAGCCCCACTGCCCCCTTCCCCTGGCCAGAGAGCGAGCAGACAGCTCTAAGCATGCGGCCCTGCTCCCCGGACCAGAGCGCGGCAATCCGAAGTGCCACCGAAGACTCGGAGCGCCGCCCGGTGAGTGCAAGCAGGTCCGGCGCTTCCACTAGGCGACCCTAGGCGGTCACCTAGGGCGGTAGGATTTGGGGGGGGGAGGGGCGGCATTTTGCCGTCCTCGGCGGAAATCCCTTCCGCTCTGGGTCTTTGGTGGAAATTCGGCGGCGGGTCCTTCACTCACCCGGGACCTTCTGCCCAAGTGCCCCAAAGACGCGGAGCGGAAGGACCCCCGCCGCCAAATGCTCAGAAGAGGAGTGCTGCCGCCCACAGCCGCAAAAACCCTGGCGCCGCTCCTGACTACAAGCCCCTCAAATCAGGCCCCGCATTTGCTAAAGCTGGCCCTGCATTTTGAGCTCTTGGAGAAAAAAGTGCGAAATAGACCATGCCACAGTAATATCCCATGAATTTGTCAACTCATTTTATGTGGGAATGCACTTAAAATGCCATCTGGTGGCTGGAAGTGGGAAAATAGGGAGCTATCGAATGATTTGTGCACAAGTCAGAGCATCATAGGCACTCTGAGAAGATCGATGCCTGCTTGTCCAGAAGTTGGCTATGTGATGGTGTGATATGCGATCCTGAACTAGTCCATTGCGTGCAGTCTTCCTTTACCAAGCACCTGTCTTCCTTTGTGCCTGTCTTTAAGGCACGTGTCAACAGTTTAAGGAGAAAAGTAATGACCTTCCTTAGGCTTGACAAGCCATGGATGAAGCTTTAGTTCACACTGTTCAACATATTAAGAAGATTTGTGGAAGGGAGGCTTGTTAAAGCTTTAAACTCCCCAGAAGCAAGCAGCTTCTCTTCACTCGCACTCAACCAAAAACCACCTCAAAGCAAAGCTTAATAATATCACTTAAGAGTTACTAGGCTCTGTTTATATATTGCGTGCTAGTCAGGCAAGGGTGATGTGGATGGATTCTTGAAGCAAGAGAACTGAATGTTCTTTCCATCATTGTCTTGGGTAGTTTACACATATCTGAGAACCCAGAGAGGCCTTTCAAATGTCATCTGTCACAGAGTAGTTACAATGCCCTTAGTTGGACAGATTTCATGGCTGGCATATATATATGACTTTTTAACTATGAGAAAACCCCCAAAAAAACTATATTAATTGGCTCAGTTATTACTGTTTTCACAGCCCCTTGTAACTTTATTGAAATAGGTCTTCGCGTTTGTTTTTAGGGACTCTTCCTTTACATTCACAAAACAAGAGAGGGCAGATGAGAGAGCCCTTGGAATTGACGTTGGGCTAGAAAGCATTTAATCAGTGTCACAAGTTTGAATCTGGGTTCAGTAATAGAGACCAGAAGTGGTTATCATTTGATAGCTGTTCATCAGCTTATGTGCAATAAGTAGGTTCAGTTCAGTTTGTAATGGTAGTCTGAGATCCATAGCAGCATATCCATTTTGCTCTGTGCCAGGATTCCTAAAAACAGTGACAGTCTCAGACACACTAAGGGCTGAACAGACAGAGAGACTAACCTACCTTCTCACTGGGAGGTTGTTTCACCAGATTAGTTGATAGTGTGGGGAAGCCTGAACTGCAGGTGCATTTTATAGAACTGGTTTCATGTATATATATAAAATCAGAGAATCCACTCTCTTGCAATTCAGTGCCTTTCATGAGCACTTATAAATAGAAAAACAGAGTAATACAACAGGACATTGACACTTAATGAGTTTGTTTCCAAGGCCCCCAATTAAATCGTAATGGGGCATCACTTAACCATTTGGTGGCTTTTATTAATCGCTGTTGGCACTTTAACAATGAGCCTGTATCTGCTTGATCAATACTTGGCAAAGTATTTGAATGCAGTTTCATTCTCTTCCCACCCCACCCCCACCCCCACCCCAGAAGCACAGCTGCTGGGCTGTCAAGTTTTTGGACAATCAACTTAGAAGAGCAAGAGTAGGGTTTGCAAATGTCGCTAATGGATTTTCAACAATTGGAGTCCCTCAGTCAGAACCTAATGGTGAACTTCACTCTTAACACATTCTCAATAGATGATGTAGTTTTACTGAGTGAGGCACATGTACTCTCATTACCAGGATTGAGTGTGCAAAAACAACAGTAAAACAGAGTGTTAGATCTGCAGGGCTAGGACACAGTCTTCCTTACTTTCCTGTGAATCACCTTGCATGCTGTGAGTGCATCTAGGAAGTCCAGGGTCAGATACACTGGGACAGAAATCTCACTGGAGTCCCAGGTTAAGCAGAGAAACCACTCCAGAGTATTTTACAGTATTTCTTCTGCCACCACGTGAACACACCCACAAAATTTTCATGAGCCCTGGCCATATTTTCATCATGAAGCTCAAATCCTTAAGCCCCAAAACAAACTCTCAGATACACACCAAACAAAATAAACAGGGCAGCTCTTCTGTCTACAGAGCTCCCTGTCCTGATATCTAGACAACAAACGCCTTTTCTATCGTACTATGAGAGAAGCCCAGGCCCTTTTAGAAGTTCAGACGCTAAGTAGACTCAGCTGTACCTAATTACCTCAACTCAGCAAGGCCCTGAAAGCCCTGTGAGGATTAACCACAATTGCCCCTCAACACTCTCTGGCTCAGTAGGATCTCCCATTGTCACACTGGGACAGGATATGTCATAACTGGTCCAGACCCCCCAAATAAACAATGCATAGTACTATAGGGCAGATATTGATATGAACATTTTTAGAAAAACATGTCTTTTCACACAATTATTTCCCAAGTGAATTTGGTACCTTAAATGAATCCAAAAAGCTGCCATAAATTTTTTGCTCATTTGCAAGCAAAAAAATTACTTTTGACTGCACGGAAAGAAATGCTTTCCTTTCCCCACACCCCACAATATTAATCAAAATCAGAGGTTAGAAAATTGTTCTTGTGCTTGAGGTGCCATTAGAACTTACAGTGGGTTCATTGTATTTCATCGGTGCAGCTCTAAGTGCACAATAGGAAGGCTGTTCTATAATCCAAGCATCGTTGCATGTTCCAAACCTTTGAGATTGGTCAGTAAGGATGGGATCCACAAATTGATTTAGGCACCTAATCCCAGC